TAGTAAATATCTCTTTACCTTAGTTTATTAATATATAAAACAAGTTCTAATATAGTTTTTTATATTCTTTTTTATATTTTACTAAAAATATTTTCTCTAGAAAATCTCTAGTATCTTACTAGTACTAAAATACCTATTTATAGAATTATTATAATTAGCTTATAGTAATTTTTCTTTAAAAGCCGGCTTATTTAATATATAAATAGTACCCTAATATCTTAATAACCCGAATATATTAAGTTCCCAAATCTTAATAGCTTTAGTAAAGGTTCTTTTTAAGAACTATTTATATTACTAGTATTATACTAATAAATTAAGCCTTTAGTACTATAATAGTAGTTTAAGTAATATCTCTCTACTTTCCTTATATACTATTTCGGATCCCGTTATTTATATAGCTAGAATCTATAATATATACTATTTATAACTAGCTATATTAGTAATAGGCTCAAATAATAATATTTCCGGTATTACTTTATTACTAAAATAGATTTTCTCTTTAGAATTCCTTAGTATTTTACTAATTAAAAAATACTTATTTCCTTTTTTCTAGGCCTTATATTATAGTATTATAGGAATAATATAATATCCTATTATTACTATTTATAGGGTTCTTTATTTTATATTCTATAACTTATTATAAAATATAAGTAATAAAGTATTTTTATTTATATTTACTATAAGATCTAGCCTCCTTAATAATCTATTAGCGGAATTATTATACCCTGGCTAGTACTCTAAAATAAAGTTAAAGATAGCTAGCTTTTCTATTTATCTTATTTATTAATTATTTAGTTTTCTCTTAGTTATAAAGTATTTTAAGTTATTATAATTTATCTTAATAATAATAATATATTAGGTATATACTAGGTAATATTACTAAGTATAAAATACTAAAATAATAACTAAGAGTTTAGAGTTATATATCTCATATTTGCTTTTAATTATAATTATTTTTTTTAAATAAAAAGTAATAAGATACTACCTGGCTTTTACCTTCTTATTAAAGAGCTAGGAAATTATATTTATAATTATAAATCCTAAAGTATTTATTTCTATATAAATTTTTAAGGCTAGATTAAAATAATAAAGAATTAGTACTATTATAAATATAATTTATAGCTCCCTAAAAGCCTTATTTACCTTATTTATTTAGCTAAACTAATATAGTAGTTTTCTACTAGTTTTTAGTAAATTAGTTAATTCTTTTATTACCCTAAAATATCTATAAATAAACCTCTAGTAAAAGTTAGTAAAATCCAGAAATACTTAAATTTCTCGAATATTATTTTTTAAAGCCGGCTATTTTCTAATAGCTATAACCTAGCTAGCCTCTATTTCTATATTATCTAAGCTAATTATAAATCCCAGGAACTTTATTTTCTTTATATTAAATTTGTATTTTACTAAGTTTATAAAAAACTAGTATTACTATAATTATTTAAGTATATATTAGACTATTATTATATATTATTCTGGATTTTTTAAATAAATTAAAATATTATTTAAATAAACTATATAAATAATATTTATAAGACTTACTAGTATATAATTAATATATATCTAGAATATTACTAGAATATTAAATAGTCTAAAAGATATAATATAATACTTAAAATATTTATAATATATTTAAAATATTATTTTTTATTTATTACTTTCTTATATTTATAACTAATAATAAGTATTCTTTAAGTCTAGCTTTATATATATCTTTATTTTATAAAGCCTATTTATTATCTTACTAATAAGTAATAATAATATTTAATTCTTAATAATAATCTTATTTAGATTCCGGTAATTAATATATAAATATAGGCTATCTTCTTTCTTTAGAATAAATATAATTAGGGCACTAGCTAGGCTAGTAAAATAATGAATTCACTTCTTCTCTAAGCTAGTATTAAGATATTCCTAAAGAACTTTAAGCTTTTTTTCTAATAAAGCATATATAGAATTATATAATAGTTAGAATTCTGGTTTTAGATCTATATAATACTTTATTATATAATAATTAGGTAATATACCTATAGCCTTTATAAAGAATATTTAGAGGAAGTCCTAATACTTTCTAGGAAATATAGCTATCTTATTTATAATAATAGTAATAATTCTTTAACTATCTATTATAAAATAGGTAATTAATAAAAAAACATATGCTTTATATTTTATTACTTTAGTAAACTTCCTAGTATTTAGAATTTTAATCTTCTATAATTAAATCTAGTATTTCTATATTATTTCCCTAAAAGAAATTAGAGAATTAATCTAGTAAAGCTATAGGAATTTAAGTATTATATTAATATAATTTAGATTAAAATTATATAATATAAAATATATATTAATTTCTTTTTAGTTTCCTAGTATATCCTTAATAATAATCCTAAAAATATAATCTCTATATAAATAAATTCTTCTTTTTTCTAGTAAGAATAAGGGAATTACTTTTAATATTAATAAAATACTTATATTTAAGGCTAATCTCCTCTTTATATAATTAGCCTCTATACCCGAATTAACTAATACTTTAATTCTTTACTTATTTTTCCTTATCTTAATAGTAATTTTAATTATTATTCTTGTTTTAGGGGCCTTGCTTTCCGTAATATAAATAAGTATAACTATTACGGGATATATCTATTTCCCGGCTTCTTTAGTTCTAGGTACTTATATATCTTATAACTAGACTTATTATAGTTATAATAAATCGGTTTTCCCTAATTTAAGTAAGTAATAATATAGTAATTCTTTTTCTAGTAAGTAAAGCAAGTTATATCTAGTTTTATAGATCCTAATATAGGTATTATATTAGATCTTATTACTATACTTTTATTATTCCGGTTATATAAATCTTATAATAGAAATATATTTCTTTTCTATTTCTTTTTATTATTTCTTTTTTTCTTTTTCTAATTTCCTTTTTTTTATTAACTTATTAGCTTATTATTATATTTCTATTAAGTAAACTAGTTCAAGTTATTCTTAACTCTTATAACTATAGAAATAAGCTTTTCCCTTTTTTATAAAGCATTTCCTTAATAATTAATCTTGTCCTAAATCTCTTACCTTAAGCTATTAAATAAGTTATCTTACTCTTATAATAAACTCATATATCCCAAGTTATCTAATAGGCTATTTAAGTAAAATATAAAGCTTTAGATACTCTAATCTAGCTATTATTTTATATTCTTAAACTTAGTAAAAGTATTATTACTATAGTTCTCTGGATCTAAAATAGAATTCTTTATAAACTTAATAAAGGTTTCCTAATCTATAATATTAATATCTATTAATTATTTCTTATACTTCCAGATATTTCTGGCTATATTCTTAAAGTAAGAAATATAATATATAATCTTTACTATATCTATAGCCCAGGTAATCCCGCCATTTTTATACTATTTTAGCTCTACCTAATAGAAGAAGTTCTAGGCTTCCTTAATACTCTTCCTCTTATAAGTTAGTAATTCTCGGGTTTTTAGAGCCCTATAAACTAAATATACTGCCGGTAATATAATAGGTTCTATAATAAGTATCTAAATATTCTCAAGATAGTAAATCTAAGCTTCTAGATCCTCTAGATCCTCTCTCTATTATATCTCTGCTTCTAACTCAGTAATATAATAATAAGCCGCTGCTAGCTTCTCTATTATTATTATCCTACTAGCTAGTTCTGGGAATATCTGAGTTCTATTCCCTTCTCCTAATTAGGTAATAGCTAGAGTAGTGTGAGGCTCCCAATATAGCAGGGTGCTACGCAAGTAGTCAAGGTAAAGGGGTAGAATATAGGGTAAAGTATGGAGTAAAGCGTGGAAGTATAATTAATTCCAAGAACTGGTTCTCAGTAATAAACTAATCGATGCCCATTTCCAAAGCTCGCATGCCTCCATATATAGAATCTAGTATTCCGCTGGATATACGGAAGCACTAGTCCCAATTTGGGAGTGCGATCCCACATAAGCACTAGCCTAATTAGGCTACTAAATCCAGCTGGACGCTCGCTGTCAATGTGTGCATCACAAGTAGCTAACTAGGCGCTTTCCTAGATACCTGACTAGATTGCCCTAGTAATAGCAGAGGCGCTTCTTCTAGTTAATACTTTAGCCATTAGTAGTTTTATCTATTAATAGCTTAACTATCTCATAATAAACTACTTCCCGAAAATTAGATTAATTAGAATATAAGGTATATAATAGTAAGGTAATATATAAGTAATTAAGATAAGTAAGCTATAAAGTAATACTTGCAAGTATAACTAATTCCAAGAATTAATTCTAATAAGAAACTAATTAATGCCCTTTCTAAAGCTAGGAGCGTCTCCCTATATATTCCCTAGTACTTAGCCAGATATATAAAGCCCTTTACTTAATTAGGAAATCCCATATAATCTATATAATTCTAATTATAAGCTATATCCAAAATAGGAAACTAGATTTACGATATCTAATACCTATTTATATACTATTATATATACCTATTATATAATTATATTTTAAATAAATAAATATATTTTAAAAGAAAATATATTAAAAATTTATATTATAATATATAGTTTAATATATAGCTAGTATTTCTTTAATTTTATAAATATCTTTTAATTTTATTTAAGCTTTTTTAATTATAATATTACTTTATTATAATACTTTATAAAAAAGTTAAATATTAAGTTTTTAATACTTATAGCTTATAATTTTATTATTATAAAGCTTTTTTTTCTTATAATTTATGTATTTTAAAGTTTAATTTTTCTTTTTAATTTTTAATTTACTTGCTTTTTCTTTACTTTATCTTCTTTTCTTATATTTCTTATTTCCTTTCTTTTAACCTTATACTTATATATATATAAATTAAAAAGAGAAGAATAAATATTTTTAAGTAATAATAAAAGTATAAGAAAAGGGGGTATAATATATAGTATATAGGCGTTTGCGACTTTTGGTGGGGTAAGTATATACCACCAGGCCTTACCGCCTTTGCTTATCAATCAAAATTGGGGACAGTCAGACTTTCAATTCGCACTGTCCGGAGACAGTTCGGAAGGACAGCGGGATCGTCCTGCCGTCAATATCCTTAATGTCCATCTGCAGACGAACCAATGTACGGAAGTCGACAATCTCGGCCAGGAACAACCAATGCCGCCGTGGTCGGTACGTAAACCCGTCACTGCTTGTATAGAACTCGGGACTAACGTCGTTCTCGTCTGGTAAGTCATCGAAACCCGGGAACGTTGCCCGGTTACGAAAGTCTGCCGGCTGGCCGGGTCGTTTTGGCTTCTCCCTCCTCCATAACCAGTCATCTAACTCTTTCGGGTCAAGTCCTTGAGGAATATCATCCACGGCAGTCTTCCACTTTATCAATATCCCATATAACTCGTACTTCGAGGGATCCTGCGTCAGGGCCTTGTATTGGAGTACGTTAGGGCTGTCGTCGCCTTCGAGGATAATCCATCCAAGTACCGCCCGCTTAACAAAAATTCGTACCCTGGCGAGGTCTCCATTGGCGATAGCGATTTGTGCGGCGTCGAGGAATGCCCTTGGCAAGCCGTTGTCATCCGGCCCTTGTTCATTGTAAAGACGGATCTGTTAATTAATATATCGAAGCTTTTGCAATGGGGCTGACAAGATCCCCATCAAGCCATCTCCCCCGATGAGACTATCCAGCTTAAGGATCTCATCCAGCCTTCTATTGCTTTCTTGACTCTGATCTGGCGGCAAGGAGCAAAGACGATACGAGCAGGTAAACGCAAATTTTCTTCGAAGAGCTTCTTGGCGGTCTTTGCGGCTATTAAGGACTCCGAGGTAGTAAATTGTAATCTCCTCACCTTTCTCGATATCTCGCAATGCATGGACGGTATACCGCTTGATACTATCGTTCCAGCTCTTCTGGGCGTTATTATCACAGGTATAATTAATACGACATGTATTAAGGAAGATACCCCCTTCCCTTACATTGTCCCCAAAGGGGAGAGCGTTCGTTCGGATGATTCCAAGGTACCGCGAGCCAGGATCGTCGGCATAAATGTTATACATAGAGAGGAAGGCTTGTCGTTGGTCCGCGGTGAGTGCATCGACTTGCCTGCGTATGGATACTGGAAGGGTCTGGCTGTCAAGTACAGCTTCGGGCACTCTGACAATGGGCTCTTCGGAGAGGATGCGTATACCCCTATGGATCTTTCGTATGGCGACGAGTCCTTTGCCCTTCCCAAGGACCTCTTGAAGGGCATATATTGGCTCACTCGCCGAGCTCGACATTTTCGTGCATTCTTCCTTCAGTCTAATTCCATATTCGAGGCGCAGTAACCTCGCATTTTATCGTATGCTGTCGAAGAAGGGGGAGAGTTGAATGACACGTTACGAAGGCGCTCTGTAAGGCTTTAATAGGTGCTTTCCCTCCCCCTCTCCCTCCACCCGCGCAATACTGGCCCTTCGCAGCCTGTAAAACATTATTAGAAGAGAGGATTGGCTAGGTAGAAGAGGATGCGTTGATACTGGACGACTGTGACACTGTTGGAGGGAGCTTACGGTACTGGTCGATGGTCTCGATTCTTGCGTTCTCAGTCAACGGTCAAATGGGACATCACTCCCCAGAATGGGCATGGAGGAAAGTATTATTACTCCACATGCCTCGCAACCACGGATTGTACTTGCCACTTTCAAATGCAACACAAGATCCTATTTTCCAAGACGACCGCAGTGCTTGGTCTCGCCTACAGCGCTGTCAACTGGCAGAGGTGGAACACTCCCCGAGACGCAGCTGCGAACTGGTATCAAAGATTTGAGTTAAGAGTCTGGCCTCGATATAAAGACTACTTGCTAATGACTTGCAGGCGAACCATAACTCTATCTTCTTCTATTGCGCCGAGAATGCTACGAATATTAATTATAACTATCCGATTTCCTGCCTCCAAAAACCAAATCCGAACTAAAGGAAACGAGAAATGATTGTCTATCCTTTTGTGCAATAGTCTCATATCATCTGCGCAACTGGCGCCCTCCATGGTACTAGTACATTGATTATCCGCGCCACTTCTGGCTCTGGCTCATCTGGCTCTGGCTTAGTACTCTTATGCTTCCGACCACGTTTTCGCCTGCCGTTTATGACCTCTTCCGCAGTATGCGCCACTTCTGGCTCTGAGTCTGGTTCTGTGTCTGGCTCTGGATTATCTGCCTCTATTGCAGTACTCTTACGCTTCCGACCACGTTTCCCCTTGCCCTTAATGACCTCCTTCGCAGTATATGCTGCTCGTACTACCTCGATATCCTCAAAGCTTATTACCTTCGCCTTCCCGAGTACGAATAACTGGATTAATCGGCGAACCTTAGCTTCGTTATTTATTCTAGTTAATATCTGCTTTTGATTATAGAGAAGGGTATATTTAGCGAAGGATATCTGGGCGGTATTAATAAGCTTCTGTATACGCCTCTCTAGGCATTATATACTCGTTCCATTAAGTATATGAGTATCCTATTTAATTAGATTATATAGTAATGCAAGACCCTCTACTAATACTGGCGTTACAGGCATTTATAGTACTTCGTCTTGATAATAAGAACCTACCCTTATCTCATTGGCCCTGGGAATAGTTAATTGAGCGGGGGGCTTCGGGATTACCCTGAGGACTCGGTCGGGGTTAAACGGAAACAAACTATAGGCCGCCTATACGGCCGTAATATTTCTCTTTATAAACGCCTTCTCCCTTATAGGGCTATATAGAGAGGTGAAATATTGCTTGCCGACTGTATTTGCCCCTCCTTGGAATAGCCTCTTAGTCTTGTTACGGTAGGCTGCCTTTAAGGGGGCAAATACTCCGATATCGCAGGACTGGAGCTTATAGGCGGTATGGGAGGGGAGGCAATACAGGATAATATTGTATTTGAAACAAAACTCTAGGGCTTCAAGGGTCTCGTATGTCCCGAAGCCGTTACAAATCAGTATCCGGGGTTTCTGGTTAGCCTATTCTCTTATTTAGGGATTAAATACATATTTGAGCCACTCTAAGCTGATTTTAGAATCGGTATATCCAGATTCGGAGTATATATAGTACTATCCAGGGATGGGGAATATAGTCCAGTTGCTTTAATAGGTTATAGCTGGCTAGATAATTATTAGTAATAAAGACCTACCGTTTATACTAATATATTCGATAGTAGTAACTATTATATACTTGATACCTGTACCTCTATAGTCTCGCGGGTTATTTCTACTTATTAAGACCTTAATAGAACCAAGTATATATAGTATAACTCTAGTCTCGTTTATATTATAGATATTTTCGGTAAGAATGGCCGGATCTTATAATACCTCTATAATTACCTTAAACCAATATATTATCTTATTATAGATATTATTCTTATAGTATTCCCAGGCCATTACCCTTACTCGTTATAATCTAAGTACTAAATAATACTTCTGGGAGCCTTGAGGCCAGTTCTTACTTAGAGGCTTGGCTGCTTTATTTATTAAATACTGGCGGGTAATACTAAAGGCGAGAGTAAGTAGGTACTTGATTTATATAGGATTCCCGAGATTAGCTATTAGTTTCAAATACTTTTCGAGGGCTTTCTCCTCCAATAGAATAAGATACTATTGGCCCTGGGCCTTCTCTTTTCTCAAGGGCCGCCTATAATTGCAATAGTAAAGAATAGTTAGAGGAACTCTACTATATTTTGATTTAGTATTATATATTTAAGGCTCTCCTGGCAGAGAGGCCTCTACCAGGGCTATACTGGTATAGTCGCTTATAAAGTATTACCTCCGTACCTTATATAGAAATGGGATGGGGATTGGAATAATTTAATAGCTTTATATAAAAGCGGATATATATGTAACTGCTTATGGAAACTTCTAGAATAATACTATATCTCATATGAGCTTTAATACTATATTTTATATAAGTTTCGTATAATATCTAATATAATATAATTAATTTAGTATAGCTATAAATGCAATATTATATAAGTACTTTCTTTACTTATTAAGATACTTAGTATATTATATACCTCCTCCTACTTTATCCGGATAAATCCGGTACTAGATTTCCTTATATTCTATATCTTTAAAACTTAGAGCTATATTCTTTCTTAATAAGAGCTTTATTCTAGGGTCCCGAAATTTGGAAATAGGCTAATAGTTATAATAAAATAGGGGGGAATAGTAGAAAGAACTTTTAATACTACTAATGGGACAATTAATAATATTACTATAATTATAGTATTTTCTTACTCTAAACTGAATTCTTATAGAGAAATAGCTAAAGAATAGGAGCAAACTAATTATAACTTTATATATTTATATAGTAGAGATTTGAGACCCCCAAATTATAAAGTCGTTCCGGTATATAGGGTTTTCTACTATATAGGAATAGATATTAGAATACTACTATGAAATTATTTAGCTAATCCCTACTAGCTAATACCTAGCTATTAATTGTCTTTAGTAACGAGATACTGGGACTAGGGCTTCGCTTATACTTTCCGTCTAATTCAAGACAGCTTTAGAGTAGATGAAATATATAGAATAGATAATATAAGTATTATAACTATAATAGTTAAAGAAGAACTTAGAGATTAGTAATTGAAAAGGTAAATAGGGAAAGATAAAGGAAGAGGGAGTAATAGAATTTACTAGCTAATATTAATAATAAGGACTTAGTATAGTATTGCCCTTTAGCTTTAGGTTAAAAAGATACTAAATAATGAAATAGATATATAGTATAAACTTTATATTACTGGCCCCTCTTATTCTTACCTGAAATTCCTGCCGGTATAAATCTGGCTAGAAAAGTTCTATATTCTCCGTTTTGGCTAAACTAGTAGACTATTTAATAAAGTATTTCTCTATTCTTAATATTATTAAAGGTAGTAGTAAAAGTACTAACTATAGGTAAGAATTCGGCTTTAGTAACTCTTATTCTTCCTAGAATATCCTTTATTTAATCCTGTATCCGAAAAATAGTCTTAGTAAAGTAGTTTCCTCTCGAGAATTATAGGGTAAGCTCAAAGGATACTAGGTCTATTTAAATAAAAATTAATTAGAATAATATCGGATTGGAATATTTATAAAAGGTCCTTATTACTTTGGCTATCTAGAGAATAATTACGAAAATATTAGCTAGGATTAAATTGCCTTTTTTAGTCCGTTTCCAAAACTTATTCCAGCTAATTACTTGAATTATACCCAAGTAGTATCTTATTTTATATAATTTTTATTTCTCAAGAATATAAGACAGTTTAAGGAATAATAGATCTATTATCTTGAGCTCTATCTGACCGGATTTGTTTTCCTTTCCTTACTTTCCTCTTCTGGTCTAGCTTACTCTTCAGATTCCTCGGGAATTATTAAAAGAGTTTATTCCTCTTTATAGCCTCCCTTTCTATTTCCGGCCGTAATAGTATTCTTGAAAACAGATATAAAGGTTAGGGCTATTATAAGATTATAGTATTTTATTATACTTTTCTAGAATATTTTTAACTAATCCTATATAAGTACCGGGTTCTTAAAAAGTTATAATAATTTTTAGTAAATAATATAAATTCCCCCAACCTGGAGCTTTATATTCGTAAATAGTTATAATAGTTCTCTATTAACTTATATATTAAGGGAATAATATATTACTAATTACTATTAGACCTCTTTATTACTAAAAGCAGCCTTTAAAGAATTTATAAATATAGAAGCAGCTTGGGAATCCTGGACTATAATAGTAGTTATATAGCTATAAAGTTCCTTACTTATTATATTAGTATTATAGAAAAGAGGTAGTAAGGCCGGCTTATTAGTTAATATATTATTATTAGATTCTGGACTAAATTAAAAGATCTCAGTAGTATTATCTTAATTAAGGAAGCTCTAGTTAAGATTCGGACTAGTATATAGAAGCGAGACCGATCTATAATTCAATAGCTTATTATTACTATAAGAAGTCGAGTCTACTTTTACTAGGATATATGAAATAGTAAAATTAGAAAATGGAATACTATATTATATAACTAGTTTATAGTCTAATATCTTAGTATTATTAGAGGTTTCTTCTAGCTACTAGAAGATATAAGGAAAAAGAATAATAAACCAAAATATCTTAAGGAAGCTCATGGTATTTATAAGTATTATAAAGTTACGGAATATAAATAGCTTATTAACCCTAGTACTTTTATAAATATTTTATAGTATATCTAGCTAACTATAATATAAGGATATAATATTCTTAATAAGAATTACTTTACTATCTAGTTAATAGACTTTATTCTTTTATTTTACTGAGAATAAGCCAGTATTAATAGAATTTTCGGTATTTAGTTCTTTATATCTAATACTTACTATAAATTATTTATATATAATATATGAAAATTTATCTTGGATTCTAATATTTAGAATTATCCGAAATTCCCTATATTTAATAAGATTTATTACCTCTTTCTTGGTATCTTTATTACTTTTATAGAGCCTTACTATATATTAGAGTAAAGTAAGGATTAGCTTCTTACTAATATTATATAGTAAAGTATTATTTCCTATTTCTGAATCTATAAAATCTATAATCTAATAGAAATCAGATTAGATAGTCTTATTTTGAATAAAAGAGATAATTCTATTCTGACTTTACTTAAGATATATATCTTAGAATATTCTTATAAAGGTCCGTATTACTCTATCTTTATTTTTATATCTTGATATTATTAAGGTAATAGATTATAATATTATTCCGGATTATATAAGTTGGTAGTACTACTATAGTTTATTAATTATAGAATATTATATTTAATAATTTAATTATATATTCTCTTATAAGTCAGGCTATAACCGGATATAAATTACTACCTCAAGAATTCCAGGTGGAAATTAGAGTAACCTATCAGGGCCCAGATTTGGAGATTTTCTCAAAGAACGGAGGCGTAAAATAGAGGCTAAGTATTAGAGGTCTGCCAGAAGTGGCTCTCTTATGGTGTCACGTGACACACCGCACAAAATGGCTTCAAAAGCAACGCTTGAGTTAAGGGATTAGTTACATAATATGATACAGTCGCTTGCAAAATTGGCTTCGCACCCTTTCGCTTAAAAAAATTGTGAGCACTGACCACCTCATCTATTTTTGGTGCTGACACCGTACTTCGTACAGGGATCTTTAAATGTTAATCAGTATTTAACTGCATATAGCAAGAAAGGCTGGAATCAAGACAGGTGATTGGTCAGACTACCCTGAGATTCTAGCTAGTTCGCCGATAAAACCCCTGTAAACAGGTGACAATTAACATTTATTCGGGCTGTAGGGAGTACCCCATTTGTCATCCCGTGTACTACTTCGTACGTACGGAAGTACGTAGTACTCTGCAGCACCTCTGTTAAAGGCTGCTACTACCCCCCCCCCCCCCGGCGCAAAGCTAAGGTCACGTTACAGGTAGTACAATTGATACCCAGCCACGTAGCCTGGATCCAACCTTCATCCCAACTTAACAAAATAACTTTGCATACAGACTTTGCGACAAATACTGTATTTATTAAGAATAACCTGCTGAAGTTCTCGAAATCTGATCTGACTGATGCGTCTTCTAGAACGCAATGGAGCTTGCCAGCTCAAGTGCGCTGGCAAAGTGTAGCCACGTGCAATTGCCTACAGAGACACATTCTTGCTACCAAGGCAATTATCTGGGGTCTAATATTAAATCTATCAATTCTTCACCTATAGTACTAATTTTTATCGAATTTAAAGAAGGTCGAACTTTTGATGGGGTAGCACGTGGGCCACGTGGCAGCAGAATCTGAAACACACGTGACTGTGGAAATGGGACACCTCGTTTACGAGTGGCCGGCGTCGCGCTCCGCATTTCGCGCGACGCCAAGCCTCCTATATGGATCGGGACATAGAAGCTTTAATGCTTTGTCTGGTACATGACAGTGGCTCTTTTCCCCGGCGAACCGCCTCATCCCGGGACAGCTTCATTCCTCATGAAGATTTCCAAACTCCTCGACCACCTCTGCGAATCGAAAACACTCCAATGACGCTTTTTCCGAGCCTGTTCAGCTGCGTATTGCAATGGTGTCTTCCCAGAAAAGTCTCTATTATTAGAGCGAAGCTTTGTTTTATCGAAAAGAAATGCTAGGGCTGTCTCTGTAAGGGAACCCTCAAGTGCAGTATAATATATGAGTAACCTCTCCTTTATATCCAGTATTTCTATATCCACGCCGAAATCTATTAAACCTCTAAAACTGCGATATTCATTTTCGAGCGACTGGCCAATAAATATGCAAGAGCCAATCCTTGGTTATTTATGGTCAAGCCATCTGACCCGCTCTGTAGTAATAGTCGACAAATGCCATTATTAATATAGAACCGTGAGTTGATTAGATAGGAAGCTAGTGGCGAATTTCCGTTAATATCTCTGTCCTTAATATTAACTCCCTTATCTAAAAGCAACCGGACTTTCTTAATATTAGTACCATAAGTCAATATATAATATAATGTATTTCTTCCCATTTTGTCTCTTAATATAGATATATTGAGACTATTAGTATCGGATATTTCAAGAATATGTAATAATATCTCCGTGTTTCTACTTGTTATGGTATAGTAGAATGCGTTTAGCCTATCTTGATTAATATATAATATGTTAGTACCGTAACTGAGAAGTACTTGCACAGATGCGGAGTCGCTACGTTAATAGGCAAGGTATAGTAGACATTATTTTTTCGAGTTCTAAGCAGAAACTTCGGTACCTTTTTCGATTAATATACTAACTATAATAGTACATTTTGGCTCTCTATACGGAATATGATATAGTACTAATGCTCCTTTATTATCTTGTATCTTGAGATTAACTTTTGGATAATGAAGTAATATATTGACTACGGTAATTCGCTTTATAATAATATTGGTATATGTTTTATTAGTATTGTTATCTTTAGGGTTAATAAAATCTAGCAAAACTTTAACTCTCTAGTGGTCTTGTTTCTAATCGTTATTATAATTTGTCCCGTATATATTCTTATATAGTATAAGATAGAGAGGTATTTCTCTATAATAAGAGACGGCATTTGGGTCTATACCATAATTAAGGAAGAACTATACTATTTGGCAATCTCTAATTAATGCTGCATAATATAAAGGCGTAAGTTCTCGAGTATAGTACCGATCGATACTTAGTATTTCATGTCTACCGTGCGGCTCATATATTGTCCTGCCCCCATAATTCTTTACTATCCATGCCTTTCTATAGATGGCAATATTTATTGGCACCCTATTTTGGATAAGTAATTCTGTAATATCCTGTCGATTAAATCTAACCGTATAATATAACGGTGTTATATTATTAATATCTACTAAATTTGTTGGCGCACCGAGCATTAGAAGCTTCTTTACGATATCAGGTATGTAATTCATATTAATAATCGCATAGTATAAAAGACCCTTTAGCCGAATATTAATAGTTGTGGGGCTGGCGCCGTATCGTAGCAAGGAATGGATTGTTTCTATTTGGGCTTCTGCGATCGCATATGACAGAGGGGTCCGGCCACCGTTATCTTTCGAATCCAGGTTAATACGGCTTGTCGCCATTAGGAGCTTAACCACAGTCTGATGTCTCCCTTCAGCTACGTAAGACAGTGGCGTCCGGACATATTTCGCGTCTTTGAAATCAGGAACTACTCTGCCAGTATCGAGCAGCAGTTTGACGACGGCGTCGTGACCGTACATCGCAGCCAATACCAGCGGTGTCTCGGAGTCATTATCTTCAGGGTCCGGGTCGACACTGTCCTGGGCAAGAAGTAACTGGACGACCGCTGCGTATCCGAACATTGCAGCTCTGGACAGTGGCGTTCGGCTGAAATTATCTCTTGAGTCTGGGTTAACGCCATCCATAGTAAGAAGGAGCTTGACGGCGGATTCGTATCCGTTTCCTGTAGCATGCGACAACGGAGTTTGGCCTGAAATGTTCTTTGAGTCGAGGTCAGCAATGCCCTGGGCAGAGAGAAGTGCGATAATGGCCTTATGCCCACTTCTTACCGCCTATGACAGCGGTATTCGAAGGTCAGAATCTTTGAGGTCTAACTTATGACCACGTATAAGTAACTTTTTTATAGCGTCCTCGAGTCCAAGGTATGCTGCTAAATGAGATCCTGTTATATATCTTAGAAATTCTTGGCTGTAATTGGCATGTGATGGGTACTGCTTGGTAGCCATAAGCGCTTGAATAGAGGCTTCCACCTTTGAGTCGCTCTCGAGAAATTCCATTATCATTTGACTTGTTAAAGGAGCCTTGCGAGCATGGTGCCCCCAATTTCGTACCGCATAGTCATAAATTGCATTATCCCGTAGTCGTGCCTCAAACTCTTCATCCGTAGGACAAAGGCCGCTTTTAAAAGTATCGAATAAGAGATAGGTAACGCAAGTGTTCGCGATGTCCGTCTCTGCATCAGGGAACCAACGTTTTTGCGTTAGCTCGAAGTATTCCTGCATTGTGTAATGGACTAATCGAATAATCCCACTCTCCTCATCGATTGTAACTAACCCCAGGCATACAGAGACCATGTCTCCGATTTCCGGGAGATTATTGTTATCGAGTTTTGCCTTACCAACTTCTACTGCAATAGCGTGTTGAAGTTCTCTTATAGTAAGCGGCCTCTTTGCGCAGGTGATCCATGAAAGTACATTCTTGGCTAGTAGCTGGAAGCCTGCCTGCTACCCATTGATTCTTTCCATTGCTTGCTCGTATGCCGAAGATAGAACTTCAAGCTTCTTGTCCTCGCTAGCTCCTGTAGATTTCTTCTGGAACTGCTTTAACGAACTCTTTATAGCCTTTGGTATTGTTTTGTCTCCAAGCGAGTCCAGATAGAGCTGTACTAAGAGAAACCTTAGGTCGCATTAGTAAAGTTACCTCGTATAGAGAGCTAGCAAGAAACCTATATTCCCTTAACGGCCTGTACAATTTGTATTATGATTTCCTCTTATAGCTCTGGTTTTCTCAAGACAAATATTGGGAGCTATAATATACGGCTATTCAAATATCTCCCTATATCTTCGTTGCTAGTAAGGATTTCAAGTGAAAGATATCCCTTAAATAACTCCTTAATATCTGGGATTGGTTACGAGATCGCAAAGAGTTTTGCTCCAGTCTTGGCTTGGAGGTTAAAGATATTCGATAGGAATATTAACCGGTATTCATTAGATAATTAGTATTCGTCTAGTATATTAATAACAATATAAACCCTTGAATAATAGGTAATAACTGAACTTAAAGTCTTCGAAATCTCGTCGAGTAAGGATTATATTCGTTTGTCTTGGTATTAGTTATATAAAGTCTTTATACTATCCGGTACGGAGGCTTGCTCCTGGATGAACTGCTTTAGGAGGCTTGCTAGCAAGTTATTGATCTTCTGCTCGTCTTTATACCGGAAGTTGTAGTATATATATATAATACTAATACCTGGATCTACTTGGTATTTGGAATAGAGATAATCGACTATAATTAATATGAGGATCGTCTTCTCTGCTCCGGGAATTCCTGGACAGAATAATATTTGCTCGTCCGTTTCTAACTATATATGGAACTTTGGTGAGTCTAGAAGCCACTGGCCGGTTCCTGGTTATCGACTCTTGAAGTAATTACTGTATTAAGGGCTATAGTTAATCTGGGTAAGCCAGTCTGTAATAGTTCGATATTCTTGACTGGCTGCTTTCCGTTAATTGGTTACTTTCACATGTATAGTATTAGTAATAAATTTAATAATAAAGCTATATAAGTTATTTGAGCAAATATTAATAACTCAATAATAAGATCGAGGAAATCCAGGTGCGGTACAGGCCTGGTATTCCGATATTCGTCCTCAAATATAATTTTCCTTTAATCTAGTGAATCGTATATAGAGCTCCTTATTATTATCTATACCCTTAACTTTCTGCTCTCGACCATTAACAGGGCTAATAATACTCAACTCACTAATCTTAAAAGCATTCTTATATAGGTCTTTAATATTGCTTCGTACTAGCTTGAAGTTGTCTTAATCCCCGAGGATTGACCCGAATTTATATACTCTACTATAGTCTGCATTCAACTTTATAACGTTCTTGCGGTCGCCAGGTATACCAAATCGTATACTCTCCGCTAGTACGATCTAATATATAATTCTGATTAGTGAATATATCAAGTTTATTATAACCCTCAACTTACGTTATCGAATGCCTCCCAAAATAAGATAATATCGTACTTTAACAACTGGTGCCTCTAATATTCTTATATAATCTCTGAGAATATGCTTCCGTTCTTGAGTGTCTCTAATACGTTATTGCCTTTCTGAAATCCTATGGCCGTTATAATCTTCGCTATTATACTCCCCAGGCTCGCTAGTATCTAGTCTCCCCTATAGTATAGTATAGCAAAGAATGCTAGCCCTGTTATAGTATCTTTAATCGGTATATATTTTGGATTATTTTATATATTAATTAATGCCTGCTTAATTAGCAGCCCGCCCATACTATATCCCAGAAGCAGAATTGGTCTTGACTCTATATAGTCTCTCTCTATTCTTATCGACTCGAGGAATTCGTTTGCTTTGCCTATAAATATATCTTTATCCTTCCCATAGACCGCCGTAGAGTTATATTTGTAGAGGAAGATATATATCTCGGGGATATATTGAGGGAGGTTATTGCGGAGCCAGAGGTATCCTTGGGGACCGGAAGGTTTGTACTATGTATCCCAGGTGTGGTTGCGGTTGTTCTTGCTTCGGGGATTCAGGCGGTAAATAGCGATAATGCTAGATATTATTAGTATGGTCGGGTGAAAATAATTATAGTATACTCGACTCTTGCTATACTGCTTACTGTACTCTCGGTATTCGGGTATGGGTATAACTGCCTCAGAGGCTATATAGCTTACGATATTAGTCAGGGATGAGTATAGAGTCCATAGACTAACCATCTTGGTATCGTTTTAGCGAATGCTTTGCGGTACACCGGAGATAGCTTGGAATTGATCAAACCGGCGATTAAAGGTTATGTGGCCTAGAGTATTGCGGACGTCTGCTGTGAAGGAGGATGAGATTGAATGGCAGAGCCTCGTACAGGTGCGGCGTTAAAGGTAGCGAAGTGACTTGTACTGTATCGAAACCAAGCCTTTTCGAGACATTAAGCATAAGCTTGAAGTTGAAATAGGGGAGGGAACACTGAAGGAAGAAGATCGCCGACCTCAAGTCGACAAACCATGTTGCCTGCGATTCAGCCGCACGAGGCTGCTTTGACGCCTTACGTAAATCGTGATGCCAAGAAGGTCTGTGCGCCAACAAAAGTACAGTCACGTGTAATAGGATCTGGCGAGTGTAAAGGCGTGCTATCCCTTCGTCTGGCAAGAAATGGTCCGTACTAGCGGCCGCATCATGCGGATAGCCTGATTGGAGGAGATGGTTGTATTCTTACTTAATAAGGGATATTCGTGTGCGGCCGCTAGTACGGACCATTTCTTGCCAGACGAAGGGATATGCTACGGCGCCAGCACCAAATATGGATGACGTGGTCTGTGCTCACAATTTTTTCTGGCGAAAGGGGACGAAGCCGATTTTGCAAGTGACTGTAGCATTTCTAAGGTCTTACCCGATGTATAGTTCCAATACCCACCCCACTGTACACAGCGGCCTATAGAACTTTGCGGCTCCCGGTACCTTGAAAATATTATATAGGTACTCGAGCTGCAGGTTTAGTAGAGTAACTCTTCTGCAATTTATTAATTAGTACAAGCCTATATATCAGAAAGTTTTATTAACTATTCTAACTCTCTGGCTTTCCTTTTCCATCTCTAAATACTAACTCTAGATAAAACTCAAGCTCAAAGAGGTAAACCTTCATTTCCAAGAGATCTTATCGTAACTTTCGAGTCTCTTTACTTGCCTTTTGGCCAATATATACTATATTATAATTAGTATAATAAATTAATAAACTCGCCAGTTTACTTAAAACTATAATACTACCTGGTACCATTTTAATAGTTAAATAGATCTCTTTTTCTATATCAAGTCTTATATTAATTAGTTATAGCTCGAGAATCTAAATTGAATTAGAATACAAATAAGATTAGAGATATCCCTACCTATACTATATAATAATAACCTATAAAGATATGAATCTATTATATTCTTATAGACTATATTATTATTAGTCTCCCAGAAGAGATATATATAATAGTAGCTAGTTCTTTATATATAATATTCTTCTAAAGCCTAATAAATATATAGTAATATTCTAGTAATTCCGATCCCGCTAGTAAAGAATAAGACTATACTATAAGTTCTAAGTTGGATTTCTTTACTATAAGGACTATTAACTAAGGCGAGTATCTCTAGGGTTTCTTTACTTGCAAGTAGTACCGTAAACCCTTCTCTCCCCCTAATTATTAGGCGGATAACTATATTACTATTAATAAACTTATATAATAAGAGGTAAAAAGGGTATTACTATATATAAGAACTCTAATTCAGGTATAGTATACAGATTTTAATATACTAGCCGGCCTTGAAATCCTAAAGCCTTAGGAGTATAATAGATATAATTATAATCTTACTATCTCTTTCTACTATTACTCATATAAGCTTGCTTCTAATCCTCAGATTCCGGTATATAATTCTAAAGAGCTAAAAATACTATATAATTATTAAGATACCGGAAATACCTAATAAATATATTATAGGAATTGTATTTCATTTTCTTATTCTTATATAGATCCAAACTATTACTATAATTACTACTACTAAGAACTAATAAGTAACTATAAAGACCTTATAATAATAACTAATAGAAATAGTAAATATTAATAAGAATATAATAATAATTATTGAGAATACCTGTAGTACTAGTTAGATTATAGTTATAATAAGAGAGGCAAAATAGACTATTTAAGTTATTATCTAAGAAATAATATCTGCCTTTTCTATTTTTAAAATAATAGTAATAACTAAATATACTAGAGCCTTAATAATTGAGATACTAGCTATCTAATAATAAATACAATTATAATCTAATAATAAAAGGCTACTACTTTTATATAAAGAGTTTATATAATATTCAAATAATAGAAATATAAAGTTTATAGTTAATACTAGCCCAGATTAATATATAAGTATCTATATACTATAAATATTAATAGTAATACAAATTGTATTTACTATTAAGATAGTAAGTATTAAGAATATTTCTAAGAATATTATTTTTTTAGAAATAGATATATATTTATAAAGGCTATATTAATATTTCTATATTAGGCTAGAGATATATTTTATAGCCTATATAATTATCGGGAGCCCAATAAGAGTACCCGAGAAAACTATATACTATTAAGTAAAGTCTATTTTTCTTTAATCTCTCAGAAATCCTTTAAAAATAGAAATAAAAATAATTATAATATTAATTAAATATTAATAATAAGAGTAAATTAC